TGTACAGATGAAGATCTTCCTCTAACTTACTAGTTTTTCTATTACAATAGTGCTGATGATGCCCATCAAGAATTAATTTCTCCCTGGAATATATTAAGAAGATAAATATAAGATTAAACTATCAAAAACTTAATTTAAACAGTACTACCTAATGGAAATCTAGTTGTTATGGTATAGGTCATGGATTCTTACCTAGGAGTTTATAATACCTCTTCTATAATATAGGTTCAAGATTAGAATAAATCAGCTGACGAATATTATAAACTGGTAAATCAACTCACTTCATAAACTTTATAGAGCTCAAATATATAAGTCACTAACTAACTAGTGATTTTAAGCATCATAGCAGAAGACATTAGTAAAAACAATTAACTTTCATAGCAAATGAATGATTTAGAAACACTACTGATTTAAAATATATAGCAACTCTCTTTCTAAATACCTAAATTCTCCCTTTTGTCTACATTTGCGAACAAAGTAACTGCTTAGCTATCATAACTACTCTTTAGCTCATCTTAATAAAACAATGTTACCACATAGAAAAATAAAATATTTGGTTAACTGTAAACAATACTCCAAAATACTAATTCAAGCATATAAAGCAGTAATCTTAGTCATTTACAACAAAATAATGATATTTAAATTTAAAATATGGTGGATTCTTTTAAAATTTTAAATTCAAGCGTTAGTTTGTTAAGTAATAACTCATACGAAGATTTTTAGTCATACGATAAAATATCGAGTTAGATTGGAAATCTTCTTAATAACATTAGCTTACCAAACTAAGGACAAATTATTTTAAATGGTGACTTGTCCACTCATTTGTCAGATAAAGTAACATAGAAAAACCTATTCAAATACGTTCTAAGTATAGATGACGACAATTCTGAAAATTAAACTAGCATTTTTAGTATTTCAAGAAATAATTATAAGTAAAACATATATGAAAATACTTCAGATTTTTAGGCGTACACATAACAATTCAAAAATATTAGTTAAAACTTTACTTACTCTAAGAATGAAGTAATATCACCATAGATTTATAATTTTTCTTCTTAAGCAGCATTAAATCAGTCTACTATCATTTACTAGTTTAATAATACAAATTCTAGTAGGTT